TACTCATGCTGTGGTTACTAATTGTAACATATTGTTGCATATTTTCAAAAAATGATGAAATCCAGGAATGTGCGTCGCCACGAATGCCGTATGTCTGTAACTTTGACAACAAAGCGTTCGAGAGTTTTTGACAAAACAAAAGCGAATCTGGGGTTTCTATGCATCTCTTCCCAAATCTGTATCTTTTATAAATAAATAAGACAACTATTTCATTAAGAAACATTAAAAAAAGTATTGTGTTCTAACCTCCAATTGACAATAAACCAAACCGTAACTATTTGGTTCCGCGAATTCGTAGGTGGCTAAAATAAAGTAAAAGAATATTTTCGACCATCCTGGGAATGAAATCACAGTCGAGCAATTCGAACAAAAACACATTCTCGGCAACATTGTTCCATTATCTAAAGTGAAATTTCAGAAATGCTATGCAAATGATATGCCCAAAAATGAACCGTGTGTATAATTATTTCTACCTCTTTATAGGGCATTTATCATTCACAACAGAAAGTGGACCTCAAATTACGCCATATTTTCCCAGCCATATTTTTGTGTCAGATATTTTCCACACTATCATTAAGTCATATTCCTTTTTGGGTTTCGGCATCAATGGTTTATGGATAAATATTTCTAACATGCAAAAAGTTCCGATCGTAGGTCAAATTCTCGAGGTTAAATCTGATAGTCGAATAATTTCGGCTTCATTTACTATAATATCTCGTGTTTGTTATTCACGAAATAAGGATCTGCCCCAATATTCTACTTCACTTTAATTGGACGTCAATTACTAGTTGATCTGAAACGGCTCAGTTCTGAGATTCGTAAAACCTGGAAACTTTAAATGAAATTGACAGCCTGGGCATCTTAGAAATGTACAGAAGCACAATAGTCTCAGATATTTTTATTAGTTGTTTTGTCAAATTCCAAATTTAATCTCCGAATTTCGACATTAAACTCGATATGTGTACGTTAATTTCGAAATTTCGACCCTAATCTCGAAGTTTCGGCTAAATCTAAATTTTCAAGAGACAAATAATAGAAATATGTGGCCCTTCTGCGCTTCCGTAGTACGGCCACATAACTTCATTATTTGTTTTTTGGAAATGTCGATTTCAATCCCAAAATTTCGAGTTAGAAGTAAACATTTCGAGATTGAAGTCAAAATTTTGAATTCAAAGTGGAAATTTCGAAATTCAAGTCAAAAAGTTTCAAGAATAAATCAATAAAAATATGTGGCCTCTCGAATCTCGGAAATTACAAGAAATGAATAATGAAAATATGTCGCCTTCTGCGCCTCCGTAGATCAGCCACATATCTTTATTATTTATTTTTTGGAAACATTGACTTCAACCTCAAAATTTGGAGTTTAAATTGAAAATTTCGAGATTGAAGTCAGAATTTTCAAAAAACAAATAATGAAAATATGTGGCCCTTTGCGCTTCCATAGAACAGCCACATATTTTTATCACATGTTTTTTTCTAAATGTTGACTTCAACCTCGATATTTGGTGTTTAAAGTCGAAGTTTTCAGAATAAATTCGAAATTCAAGCCGGAATTTTCATGAAACAATTAATAAAAATATGTGGTGTCTCAAATCTCGAAATTTACAAAAAATTTCGATATTGAACTCGAAATTTCCAAGAAACAAATATGTAGTAACAATATGTGGCCTCAAAATCCCGAAATTTTGATATTAAAGTCAAAATTTCGAAATCAAAGTCGAAATAATATTCGAAGTTTCGGGTTGAAAGTGAAAATTTCGATATTAAAGTCGATATTTCCAAGAAAGAATAAGAACTTATGAACAACCTTCTGTGTTTCCGTAGTTGAGTTCCAATTCAGAATTTCACTCAGTATAAATAAAAAAATCTGTTGTGGTCGCTCTGACTAAATTTGTTATCAACAGTGTTTCTTGTCGAATGTGATTGGTCTTAACAAAGTCGTTTTTTTCTGCAATAGCAGAATTTTCTGGAATTTTGAACACCTGTCAAAAAAAATCAACAAAAATATAGCATTACATTGCTAACTGGGAGAAACTGATAATTCTTCTTTCCAAATATTGAATTTTCCAACGGACATAAAATGGAAATTACGTCTGGTTACTACTGTTCACGATATTTTGAAAATACTTATGAAGAAATCCAATATACGTATTGATTTGTTGCCCCATTGTGCAAATGTTTCTCACAGTGCAATATATTACACGAAAAATGCAATACTTTCTGGATAAATGTGTTTTTCGAACCATTTTTGAATGGAATGACAATTATTGGTAACAGGAATTTGAACACTCCAGTTCTATTAAGAATTTTATTAGGATAGCTGCGCTAACTTGATATCAATTATTTTTCACCTCTGTTATTCTAACAGAACCACTTGGAATTTTCATATTTATTTTTTAATCATAATTTTAGGCTAATTTTGTACTTCGTTCCAAAATTTTTATTCTTCTTTTAAAGGAGAAAATAACACTGAAAAAACATTTTGTTGAATCATACTATGTAATACGTCATAATTTTGCTGGGCGACTAAGATAAGAATCTACAGTTTTTTAAAGTTGAAAGTCAATAATTTGAAAAATAATACTTTTCATGTTAACTGAAACCTTTCACAACATATGACTTTTCAACAAACTTTATTATGAAACATTGAACTACAATTTATGATAACTCATAAAGCAAGCAATGGTTTTTTCCTGAGGTTTGTGAAACAGACTATATTGAGATTAAATAAATCAAAAATGCATCCGTTAATGGGGTAAATTTTTCCTATTGGTTAGTAGAAGAAATTTCTCAGATAATGGATGTTGGAACAACATTACTTTCTTCTGAATCAAATTTATTTTAAATTGGTGAATTGGAACCTTTACACAGGACATCAATCACCATAGTTAGCAAAAATTAAAGGGAAGTAGATAGTAGATATTTTTATGACTTTTCATTAACCATTAATTATGAAATATCGATGATGATTGTTTTTAATATAGAGCCGATAAAAATAAAATGAAATTTTCATTTCATAATACTCGACAAAATACTTATTACTTTGTGAAAAAAATAAATTAGTCATTTACTGAAATATTTACTTACTTCTCAGGAGGTAGTATTGTAGTTTCTCTCGAAATAGTTTGTCACCCAATATGAGTGTGAAACTTAACCTAGAAAATATAGTAACGCCACGTTCTGTACGTACTTCATTCACTAGCCTTCTTGTTATAAACAGTATTTTTGATTCAGTAATTGTTTCAAATTAAAAAATCTGACTATCCATCAATAATTAAAATGCAGAACTTGTGATAATTTGAAAAAATTACTGGAAATTTATAAATTCTCACCATATTGACCATTTTTCTCAAATTAATCTTCTATTCAACACATGTTTTCGTGAGAAAAATGTTTCAATCAGAATTTTGCATGTCAAACAAATTACGATGTTGTAGCTGTTTTGTTTCGAGAATATTTATTGTGAAACGTGGCATAAAATTATGCAAAATAATATAAATAGCCATTCAAAGAAACAAATAGAGAGGTTGTACCTACTCGGGTTCTTTAACTTCCGATACAAGCATTAAGAATGAGTGATAAAATGCAACTTCTTATAAATTAATGTGGGCACAATCAAAAATAAATAGGTACTCTATTCGTTGATCAATTTGATGTAGATTTGAATCAATGTGAATTGAATATTCCCATTGAGGGTTAGAATAGGTTGCCTTTGCTGTTCATAAACTAAGCATTTCATTATGAATTATATGAATATGTAATTTATGTTTGTATAACAATCCACTCGGCAATTCATTATTCAGTTGAAATGACCTCCGAAAATTTGGTTTCAAACTTAGAATAACAAAGTTGAAGATGACTGAAAAAATAAGAAAAATATACTGTTTGATCTTCCTCTTGAAGATGATCACTTGGTGATCGAAACGCGTGTCGAGGTTCAAAACAGTGCATCACAAGAAACATGTCTAATGTTTTAAATTCGAATGTTTCTCAGCTTTTTTTATCAAGTTAAAATTCAGAAAACTATTATCAGCATGTTCAACATTTATAAAAAAATACTTTCAATTAGAAATGAAGGTTCTTCATTTCAAATTGAAGGGTTAAATATAAAGATTCAGTTGTTTCAGTCTTGATGGACAAGGATATTGTTTTAAGGTCAATTTTGATCAATCAAGAGATTGAAAATACTCATTATAATGGTTGAAACAACCGAAACGAGGGCTTTTATTTGGAAAATTTACAGTTTTTCATTGACAATAAGCACACTCAATGAATTGATGGATGTAGCTGTTACTACGTGGTAGGAAATCATAATGAAGAAAAGAGAATTGAAACTTTCTATGGTTTTCACCACTTTTATTTTATCAATTTAGTTTACTCACCGGTTTTCAAATCAGCATATCCACATTGTCACTAGTGAACAAAAATTCAGGTACTCATCAAGCTAAGTACCTCTATTATTACCTACAGTAGTGTTATATGAGGGCTAATGTAATCAATCATTGTTAGTTTAATGTATAACCTTGAAAATGTCCTTATAAGACGAAATTGCAGTAATGATAGTTACAAATAAAAGTGGTAAAAAATATAGAAAGTTTCAATTCTCTTTTCTGCAATAGCAAACTCCTAATTTCTATAAAATAGAAATAATTCTCTTGTATCTTGACTTTTCTTCCTTTAAAAACAGACGTTACTCTTTGATGTTTGATTTTTAATATATGAGATAGTTAAAATGAACATTTCAAGTGTTCATAAAAATGCAATATCAATCATTATCAAATATTATTTAGTGCTTGTCGAAAAGAAGATTGCTTTTCCACAGTGTTCTTTCTCATATAAGACTAAATATATAAAACAAGAGTTTCACTTTTCGGAGGGAAAATGTAAAATGACATTTTTGAAATCAAAAACTGACATCGGAATCAACTTTTATTCGCATTTATATCATCTATATATTTACAAATTTACAAATAATATTACAAATATTTACAATAATATTTGCTTCATATCACATTTTTCTAATAATAAAAAAATTCTCTCAATTTAAGCCATTAAGTGACTTTCTCAAAAAATTTCACCATTCGATGGCGACATAAATAAATTTATTATGGCATATGGCGGCTGCGTGAGTATAATAAATAAATAAATTACCTAAAAACTAGGTGCAGTATCGAATGAAAAAGCATATGTTAGTAGGTGCATGCTTTTTCTTTCGATAGTCCCCATTCGAATTTCAAAATCCCTACAACTCTTCTCCTAACTAGGTATTAGAAAAAACAGACTCACATTTCGATATTTGATTGTAAACCTTGTCTATTCTTTCGTTTAAAATCTTAACACTCTTGTCCGGAATCGTCGGCAGAATATCTTTGACGCTTTCACTGTTTTGTCTTTCGAACATCTCGCGCAACAACTGCCCGATGTTCCCCTTCTGCTTCAACTTCCTGATCCTGTCGGCCGTCTGTCTCCTGAAGATGCACAGATTCTCCAGCAGGATCGAGTGGTAGATCTCGTACTTCTTCAACAGCCTGTACCCATGCAGGAGGCCGGATTCGTTATCGAGGAAAACCAATAACTCACTGTCCGTCTTCTTCGCCAGATTGTGCGCAGGCGCATCCATGATATTCGCATTCCATTGATAATTGTACAAATTGTTCACGATTCTGTCCAAGTTCGCCGTAAGATAATCGAATATGATCAAATCGGACCACTGGGCCAGCTCGACCAGCTTCCTTATCAAATTCTCCTCGTCCACGAGCTCGCTTTTGGTCATGTTCAGCACGTCGTACTTGTTCAGATGCCTCTCGATCGGCTTGAACACCTCTGGGATGTTGGCCGAGTTCAAATTCGAGATGAACTGGGTTAAAACTATGGGCCTGTTGGAGTTCCACTGTGCTGACGCGATTTCGTTGCGTAAGTTCTGCCACAGGGGTTGTTTCAGGTCCACTATGCCGACGGCGCTGGGTGCCAAGTTAGGCAACCTCAGGATCTTCGCCAAGTAGAAGCTGAAGAGCTCGCCCTGGATCTGATCGGTGTTCTGCCGGTACCTAACGCACCCCTTCAAACCGTCCTGGAACGTCACCAGGCGGTTCTGCATCCTGCCGCAACCGCTCTCCATTTTGATTCCCACGGCCTTCTTGACGTAGTCTCCCCAGACGTTGTGGTTTTTATCCTTGTAGCCTTCGGGAAGGGCCGCCTCGACGTCCTTGCCCCAGTAGATCCCGTCCTCGATGTGCGTCTCGTCGGTCTTCTCCCCTCCGGAGAAGTTTTCCACGAAAGACACGGTGGGAAACTTGGACTCGTTCTTGTAGCCGTAGCTGTTGTTCAGAAAGATCGTCCTTATAGCAGCTGAGTTGGCGATCAGCGGGGTGATAACGCTCGGTTTGGTCTGGTTTTTAATATCTGGTGCCCTGAGGTACACTAGCGGAATGAGGATTCCTATCGTCAGACCGACACTGAACGCGAAAATGGCACTCACCAGGCATAAGTTTTTGTACACCGAACTTGAGTGAGATTTAGGCTGGAGCGGTTTTAAGTCACTGTCCCACTGCAGGCGGTTTTCCAGTTTTCCACCGAAACTAGCGAACGCACCCATATTCGGCTGTTTGTTTTAGTAGTACGATTCTGTTTTATCGCCGATCGAAGTGGTCAAACACATGCTTTATATGCAAATTAATCCGAAAACTGGTATCAGCCACTCGTAGCACGCCGTTTTACTTTAACAACAATTGATCAGGTTGAAACTGAACTCTCATATCGCACACGTAGCGAGCAACGCGACTTCGCTCGTCTGCGAGCTTTTGTAGACTGATCTCCGACTCTTTCAGACGTATAAGTTTAGTTAACAATACTGCGGAGAGTAGGGTTTTACACTGTAGTGGGATGAATATCTGACATATTTCGATAGAAAGAGAACGTTTCTTACCTGGCCAGGTGAATATGATGGAGAAGGACGGACGATTGAGTTCGAACGATGAATTCGAGAGAGAAGTAGTAGGCTTCGCAATAAAGATAGCATTTGCCTCTCCGATATAGAAAAGTGACATTAAATAAAAGGGTTTGTTCTTTGAATATAAAGTGAGCTTTTTTGGTTTTGAGAATGAATTATGATTGTGTTTTAATGTGGCATAATAACTTTTAACTCTGGGCTGCCACGATACTTGGTAAATTATGGGAATGGAGGCATATACGTATCTTGATTGATTCCTCGTTATAAGTGGATGAAGCAGCTTTTGTATATTCCTCGGGAGAAATATATTATTCTGACTTGTCATATATCACTTGAAATCGCGGGTAAATATTCGTTTTGAGGGCACCCGTCGATTTTCAAAAAAAATGTTTGAGTGTACTTACGTATTTTAATGCTCAGGTTACGAATTCAAAAGAAAAAAGCGGCGCTTTGCCTTGTTTACAAAGTTAAGACCCTTCAAAGTTCAGAAAAGGGCAACTTTTCAGCCTTCTTTTTCACAAGATAAACTTCTCAAAAACACAAGTTTTCATTTAATGGCATAGTTGGTACGACTGATGCGGTATTTTCATTTTCGGTTTTTTGTTACATCTATACAGTAAAGCGTCATAATTCAATTTGCACTCTCCATTGCAATTGGTACAACGTATTGTTGCTTGAAACACTCCTACTTGAACTAAATAAAGAATTCAATTATTACTTTCACTAAATTATTATTTTCGTTCAAATTCATTTTGTGTTTTTCTAATCACTCACGTCAAACTTAAAATTCAAATCTATGAATTTGAAATAGTAGGCGGCGGCAAATACCAACCGCTTTTTTCTGAAATGTCACTAGTAACTAACCCAGAAATAGAAGAATGTCACCAGAAGAAGCATTAGTTTTTAAATTAAGTTTTTTATAAGAAAAATATTGATTGTTGAATTGAAAAGTGTCAATTAAGGAGGAATAAGGTGTAAAAGTGACCTAGTGAATAAATGCTTGTGTTTTAAAATAGTGTAAAAAAGAAGGCTGAAAAGTTGCCCTTTTCTGAATTTTGAAGGGCCATAACTTTGTCAATGAGGGAGAGTGCCGCTTTTTTTTGGATTCGTAATCTACGCATCAAAATACGTAAGTATTTTTTAAAAATCGCCGGGGGCCCTCAAAACGAAAATTTACCAAATCGCGTAATTGATAAGAAAGAAAAAGAAATTTTGTTGACATTTGTTAGATTGAGAAAAGATGAGTGAATGTATGACTCCCATTAACTCGTGATTCTTTTGAGTATATACATTTTACATCATTTTACTGTGAAGAGATTCACATTTTATTGAAAAGAATCATACTATGAACTCAAGTATCACTTATTAGATGATCGAGCCGAGTATTTTGACTCTTCTAACTTCTCTTTGGTTTAATAAGAACTCATTTTTGTCAAAACAAAACCCAACCAAAAATCATGAACCATTAGCTGTACAAAAATTAAAATGAATATCGATATAAATATAACAACTCAATTTTTTTTTCTTTCCTTTTTTTATAATCTTAGTTGCCTGAATTGATATGTATTTCATGATTGTTCCAAATTTCTTTATGTATTGTAACATAATATACTTGCAACATTTTGAATACGGAGAAAGCTTTTTTGGTTTTTGTGATTCTATTTGTGATTCCATGTGATTCTATTTTAACAATAATTTTTTACTATTGTCAATTTATATAGAGAAAAGTATCACTTTCAAAAAAAAAGGTGATTTTTTCCATTCTTTGGAAGTTTTTTCATTTGTATATTGATGTTTCAAGTGTCCAGAAATTCTCATTTCATCCATAATACTACCTAATTACCAAATATTACTTGATTAATAATAAAATCAACATGAATTTCATAAGTTCGGACTTCCATTGTCTGATATTATATAAAATGATTTGAAATCTCTGAAGAAACTAATAAAAATGAAAGAATTAGTAATAAATACCTGAAAATAGCAATTATATTAAGTAAAATGCATCCGAAATGAAATAATAGTGAAATAAAATGAAAGAAAAAATAGAACAATTGAAAAAAAAAATAAAAAGTTAACATATTCCAAGCCAAGTTACTTCACGACGTTTCGATTGTTAGTATGTACAATCGTCTTCGGGTGATGACTGGACTGATTCCTCCGAGAGATGACTATTTTTATGGGTTATATTATTATACTTATTTTCCGCTTCACCAGTTTAGTAGGAGATGACCGTTTGCCGGGAGTTGGCCGTGTTCCACTTAACTAAGGGTTTCCATATGTTGCGTATCTCTAGGCTAGCTCGGCTGAATACATTGTTGGACAACATGTTTGCGGCTTCTTTGAATTTCCTCCTAAACCAATGTTCCTTCCTGTGTATGATCTCAGCTTGGGACAACAGTTTTGATATCGGAAAACTTCAATCAACAAGTACTCATTTGTTTAAAATCACAATCCACCCGTAAATCGTGTATCAAACACAACTGTTAAAAAATATATTTCGAACAAATTCATCAAGTAACTCAACAAATGATATGCATAACCAAAAAAATCAAATGAAATGGTTTTATTGCAGTATAATTCACAAGAAAAATAGGAATATATCACATCTGTCATGCTTTAGAAATTATCTAGTTTTTCGTCGTGAAATGAATCTAAAGAAAGCAATTTTCCCCTTTCCAGAACAAAACACTATATCTTGACGTGCGTTTCACAACCTTAGTGAGCATCATCAGGAGACGATGGTAACTTGATTTTATCATCTCCTGATGATGCCAACTTGGTCAAAGAAACGCGCGTCGAGATACAGTATTTTGTTATGGTTTACGAAAAAGTGTATATATTTGTTAAAAATGATTTTTTCCCAAACTCTAGTTTTGCAAGACAAGTATCCCTGTTCAATCTTTCACTTGAACCTAAGAAAGAATATGTAAAGATTGAAATAGTCACAATAAAGCCGTAATCGTTTTTGAAGTCATTCTACTTTTCAGAGTGGATATTAATTTTGTCAGTATTCAGTAGTTTCCATAAACATATGTCTTTGCATTTTTAAGAAAATTTTAGGTATATTGTTGAATACTGCTTAAATATTTATCAATGTGCTGTTTTGTATTCTATCCTCCTTGACTTGCAGTGTACTCTTGTATATAGTAATGGTTTGAGTGTTATAGGTTGACGAGTACGATACCATTTGAACTGTTTTGAAGCAATGACGAATGTATTATTATCAGTATTTATTTCCATAAACAATGACACAAAACGTTTAAAAAATATACCTACTGCAATTTGCCAGACCCAATGAAAAAAATATACTATATATTTCGAATATGGAGTGTCCCAAATTAGAGGATGAATACCCAGTAGCAACTGATTTCAAATATAAAAGGAATATATTCATGAGAGACAGGTTGAATAACAATAAAATTATTTCTCACAATATAATTGAAAAATCCATGAACCAATTTGTAGAATAGAACAATTACAAAATCAAAATAGCGATATATTCTAAACTCCTCCAAGTAAAACAAAGGCCACTTATTATTTTTATTTAATTTTTAGTGTTTCGATGTACACAATATTGTTAGTAAAATTGTACCTATATTACATTTGTGGGTATTCGTATATGATCCACCCACTTTGATTTTAATACGTGTATTCTCATGTTTTTATGGTTACATAAATGTTGGTATTCATTATTCACGATTTCAATTTGCCCATCATCTCACATGAGTTAGTGTTATAGTTCTTTTCATGTTTGAATTCAGATGGTGGAGCATCATTAGTAAAATCAAATAATTAATGGATCCCTGTTCAAACCAAGTACAAGTGAATATACCACGTTGTTCTGAGAGCTTTCTTTCTATATTATCAAGTAATCGAATGTTGAGTACATTTGAAAAAAACTTATTTTCAACGTTTAGGATCTCCATAAAATTAGTTATAACTAACTAAATTCTGCTATTGAATAAAATAATCAAACTAAGCACGATTATCAGTTTTCCACTGATATACCGATATAATAAAAAATACATCAAAACATAGACTGCCTAGTCAATCTCGTGAATTCATATGAGATGAATTCAGCTGTTATACTCCTGGTAATAATTCAGTAATTCATTTATCGTTTCAACTATCGATAAAAATAAATAAAACAAGTCAATGTTTCTTACAATTTTAACAATGTAAGGTTCAGTTGACAAAAAAAAACAGCAAGACAAAACAAATCAATGTGAAATAATTACAATAAATAATGATTAACATAAATTGTGAGATACATCGATATTATATCAAAACGGAAAAGATTCAAATTCCTCAATAGTTTAGAAGCATTCTCTGGCTAGAAGTTCCTTAAGTTAGTATTTGAAAATACCAGGGTATCTTGCGTTTTTTATTTCATGCAGTAGACTGTTTTGAAAACAGCAACATGCATGTATTGATAGGATATTTTTTGTAATACTAGTGTAATGAATGCTCATTATAAATGCCACGCTAACAAAGTGCTCAAACAAATTTTTGTGATTTCGTTAAGATTTGACACAGCCTGGTCTGTATCAAAGGGAGTGCCACAAGGACCTATTATTGGGCCCTTGCTTTTCAGCTTGTATATCTGTGATTTTCATTTGTTTGTAAATCACTATGCCGAAGACACGTAGTTATTTTTTTCTTTCGCGTCTCGGGATTCTAAATCTACTCAGTCATATATTGATAACGATTTAAGCCATCTGCGACATTTCTACAAATCAAATCAATTTTTTTTCACGTTAATATACAAGTTGTTGTATGATATAAATAATTATTAAATTTGAATTACCTTAAATGAGTAACTTTCAGATAGATGTTGAAATGCCTGTATTGATAAGATAAGAGTTCTG